CCCATATACGGCCTTGGATGTATTAATGTATTATAATGTATGTATTGTATATCTGCCTATAATCATACATAATTTAATATATTATCTGTAGTCGCTATCAATTAAATGTATTATTTCTTTGATTATTATTATTTTTTCACTACGTGCCCACTAATTACATGTAATTATATGTGGTGTGTATCCAATTCACTGCATCTACTATTAAGAAATTTATTTAATATGACTAATTTAAACTATTGATTTATATAATGTTAAAATAAATTAAAACGATCTTACCTGTTAAACTTTGTACTTTTAAAATTTTCTAAAATTATATTTCTTCAACAACTACAATGATATTTAATTTATATCTACTTATATTTACAGGGTTTATTTTTAGAAGGAGCTAGATGGGATCGAGAGTTACAAGTATTAAATGAGTCTTATCCAAAACTTCTTTTTGATACTCTTCCAATAATTTGTTTCAAACCAGGAATTAAAGTAACGTATTCAGTATACTTAATTATAAATATATAATATTATATAGTATTAAAATTGGGTACCAATATATTATTAAAAAGTGAACATAAGGTTCACAAATAAAAAGGCGCTAAAAATTAACTAGTATAATATTATTTATACATATTTTATACTTGTTGAACAATAAATAATCTAATGATTAAAATAAATTCGATTATTAAGATGACATTGACAATACCATACCTAAGATATAGATACGTTAAAAAATCATAGTCTGTGGATGATAAGTCAACATAAAAAACTATCTATTATCTTATTTTTCTGATTGCAGTAGTATCAAATCTGAGTTAACTATATTGAAAAATGCATTGAAAAAATATGAAAAAATAAATAATATTTCTATAAACAACTAGTTGATATATTCCTTCATTTTGGCAGGAAGTGTGAAGTAAAGATTTCATACCTTCTACTCGTATAAGTATTATTATAAATTTGCCATTCAGTAAAATTACGTGCTTCAAGTTGGACCTGTCAGGTATAAAATCCCAGTGCCGCCACTGATTTTTCTACTGGTTGAATTATTATTGTATGCTCAATCGACAATATTTTCCTCTATGTTTTAAAATCTAAGGCGTGTTAAATAGGTCAAAAACTGCCCATTTGATCAAACTTTTATATTCTGATACCTTAAACATTTTCTCTGATAATCCACTGACTAATTTACAGTAGAAAAAGGGGTTTCATTTTTAAAAATAGAAGTTTTTATCTCACAAAACACTTTTTAAGTTGTACAAACAATCTCAAGAAAATTTACAATAAATAGTTTAATTGGTTCCCGGGTAGTCTATATTATGTATATGTACATCACATAGGAATTGATTCCTGAATGTAAAGGTAGTAAATACATTGGTTCCGATGAACTTTCATTTTAATAATACATAACATGTTATACAACTATATTAAAATTCCTACCGAAAATATGATGTGTTTGTATGAAATTTCACCGCTAAGTGTCATATTTTAGTTGCATATTTGTAGTAAATCAGATGCATATTTTACTAGCTTTTATTGCATACAAGTCCTACTAACCTAGCCCTATTGATAAGTAATTTTTATCAGGAATCTATTAGTACTTCGTACACTTTATTTTGTCAAGGAAATTACTTCTGTACTTCCCTAAATATGAATGTATTCAACGCAGATAAAAATAAAAATGTTAAAAAATGATGAAAATAACTGTAAGTATTTACATTGTTATGGTTTATTTTGTTTAGTCGCAGTTCGAGAAGAGATCATATTATGACGCTCCTATCTACAAAACAAGTGCTCGTCGAGGCGTTCTTTCTACCATGGTACATTCGAATAATTTTTTGATGTTTATGGACCTTTTGATTGATCGACCGAAAGATCATTGGATTAATCGAGGCACCGCTTGCTTGTGTCAATTAGATGATTAAATACTCTCCTTTTTGTACATCACTTAAGACCAAAAATAACGTTTTTTAGAAGAGTAAAAATTATAAATATATATGTATGATCAATATTGTTGTAACATTACGGCTTGGTCATATAACATGAATCATAAATTATTTTATTTCAATTTATAAAAATGTTTTCATTCGCGAACAAAAAAATACAATTTGAAAAACCTAATATTTTCTAATAAAATACAGTAATAGTTGAGTTATGAACAGTTATAAATACAAACATAACAATACTAACRCATTTTGTGTCAATTAAGTTCTTTATATACACAAAATTACAGAAAAAATATATGTATCTTGTTTTAAAAGATACAAGTCATTTTCCACTATTGAATGTGTTAGTTCATTTTGCTATAAGAGTTATGTGATCAAAATAGATATAGCTACATTTTACAGTATATMTTTTGACTTAAAAACCTTATGAACGAGGAATTAAATTTGACACAGTGTTGGACTGGCGGGAAAAATCAGCCCGGATCACAGTTTAGGTGGCCCAAATTTAGTCACCTATCACAAACACTCTTAATTTAACATTTAATTTTTCTATACACACTCCTCCAACATATTTGCAATGATGATTGAAACCTTGTATGTTAGATATTGCACATTAACTTAACTTGGTAACTTCTGTTAAATGCGTTTATTCTAATTGTACGTTTCTTTACCAAGATCAAAAATACAGGGAAACACAAGTATTTTTAATCTCAATAATTAAGTTTTCTCAAATTAAGTCTCTCACGACATTAATACATTAAATAAGATTTTAGATTTTGAGCGATATGATTAAGTATTGATTTTAAAATATGTATTTTTTAATTGTAGGGCATAATTTGGTGGACAATATTGATTTTTCCAAAGAAGTCAAAATAAATAAAAGCGATAAAATAATAGTTAAAAAATTCAGATGTATTTAAGTACTATTGACTRAGTATTATATTAATATATTTTAGAGTTTTTAGAGGGGAAATTATAACTTGTATACCTACCTATTTTAGAGGCGGAAAATTTTTAGTTCCTAAAGCCGTAAAAAAAGATTTTTCCACTTCTGTAAAGCACTCTTGAATTACAATCGTAAGGAGCTTACGATAATATTAAAGTAAATTATACTATATTACCTAATATTCAGAATACAGGGGTGTGACGTCAAAAACTAAGTTTTTTGTGGGGTGAGGGAGGAGGAGGAGTAATTTATTAAAAGCAAAAATAAGAAATTTTAAGAACCACACAAYTTCAATTTTTGTTATAGTCTTAACTGTTTTACATTATGAATAGTGAATTAATGAATGCATAATAAATATGTATCTAAATGTCTCGATGAATTGCTAAAAGTGTAGTAAGTCCTATTAACCTAGATTCTAAAATGGTATATTTTATTAAATACGTCTTGAGCCCTCTCAAGTTCGAAAAGCTGCGTTCAGCTGTGGTTGATACTAGTATTGTTACTAATATTTTTAGTTACTCACGYATATATGGGTACCTACTTAAAACACCTATAGTTATTATTGTAAGCCTTCAGTTTTCTTTAAAATTATTAAATTCAGTTTGCCAAATCTCAAGCTCTGCTTTTATAATGTCATTTAGCCCAGGTAAAAATCATTTTCATAAAACCCAATAGCTTTTTTTAAATGATAAAATGGTTTCACYTATMATACACAGAAATACATATTCTATTYCAGCTATGATTTCATTGTGAGGTAGAAATCTTTCATTCAATACCATAATTATTTTGTCCAAGTGCGGTATAAAAATAGATTTTTGTAATTTTCTTCAACGTTATTAAATGGTAGGTACATTGCTTTTATTTATTTTTTGACTGCTATAAATACGAGCTAATTTTGATTTACCGAAAACATTTATTTTATTGTTGTTTACTTCCGAGTCTATACCAACTTACTGTACCTAGATGTAGACTRCATTGCACAAGTGGGGCAATTGACATCGAAAGCTGGCATTAAATCATAGGGTAAAAAAATATATTCCTAAAATTAATATTATTTTTATATTTGTTCATCAGACATATACAAAGTCGTTTACACAGTATTAACATAARGTATAAAGTATATACGATATTTATTTATTTAATTTATTAACAAAATTAGAAAAATGTATTATTTTAAGTTTTAAGTTTAAAACTGGTCATGGTTATTGTCTTCATTGTCTTCATTGCTGTCATTATCTTCGTCATAATCATCATCATTATCGTTGTCGTCATCATAATCATCATTATCATTGTCATCATCATCATCATCATCATCGCTATCTTTGGCATATTGAAGAGAGACTAGGACATCTGGTGATTTTAATAATGCGAGTGCTTCAATTGGCATTGATTGTGTTTTTTTCTTCAGCAATTTTCTTTTACTTGAAATTACTGGATCTGAACTTAATAAAAATAAATTTAATATATCTAAATTAGTTTTTTCACGACAACATTTCCTAGAGTTATGCTCTCGATATTTTTTGAAATCTTTATTTCRCACTTCTTGGGCTTCTTCAGTCAACTGTCCTATTGGCAACAAAGCCGATTCAATTATCTCTGGTCCAYGTATAAAAAACTTGTGCATCGTGGGTGACATATTATACCACGGATACTTCTCAACAAAATATTTTGCAGTTTTATACGTGTATTCCCGAAACTCATTGATTTTTATTTCGTGTCCACTAGCTACTACTATCATTACTATATGTATTTTTTCTATTATTTCTACGTCTAATTTTGTGATTTCGGCAGATATTTCTGAATTTTGGAAAAAACGTCTGKCTGTGTTCCCATCATTAGAATTTCCAAATCCTGGTTTGGGTTTATCTACAAGTAATCCTAATTTGTCTTTGAATTCTTTTTGGATTCTTAGCTTATTTTCTGAAACATTTTTTTTCCACATCTCCTCTAGCTTGCCATTTCTTAAGTGGTAATTTGTAAGACAAATGGAGGAGACATTCAAAGAAACGAATCCACCCGTGTAAAACTGATATCCCAAAAGATAAATTATCAGTTTTTACCTTTCATTTAACCATTTCATCAATTAAATTAAACTGTTTCATGTTGCACCACACAAGAAACATTTAAGTGTTGATGTCGTATCTGTGAGTGCATTACATATTTTACCATCAACCATTGCTAAAATCAAATTGTGAGTTACAATAAATGATTTGTTATCAAAAGTTATTTATTAACTTATTTATTTGACTCTGAACTTTTTCTTTCTCAGCTATAGATGTATCTGTAGATTCTTTTATAAACTCAATTTTTATAGGCCTACAATATCTAGTTGATGCAGGGCGTGGGTTTTGCCATATAATTTGGTCACCGTTTACCAAGCGAAGTGGACTATACTTGTAATAAATACAGCCGAATCACTAGCTTCGGGACTACAAAAAGCTTGTTTATATGAACTATGTCCAGAGCTGCCATCAAAGCCCCATTTTGAATACAAAACGAACTTATCTAATTYATTTTCCGGGAGTAAGACAATAACAGGCTTTTGAACTAAAAATAATCGTTCTACTGTGTGATCAAGTAATGCTTGTAAAGAAATTTCTGCGATTGTAGAAGTTACTTGTATGTTTTCTGGTTTTGGATAACACTGTTTTTTACTTTCTTGTACGACTTTGTATGATGGAAATTTATCTGGGACACTCATCCTAATAATATTGTACTGATGTCTAGAWAGCTTTGCATCTACTATAACAGCTAGAGCATCTTCACCCGATAGTTTTTTAGGTGCTTRTGCAGACTGCTTCTAAGCTTCTTAAATACTTTTCTATATCTACTTGCACGTGTGGAAGTGGATGTAGTTATTTCCTTCAGTAACTTTGCGGCTTCAACTTGTCCCGATGATCTTAACACATTAACAGACGTATTATTTCTCAGTTCTTGAGTTCTTTTCCGCTTGTTTCGTTCACTACTCATCTCAAATGCCACTACTGGACAACCACGATTATTCTGGTTATTTAAAGATACAAATTTAATAGAAGCATTTAACCAGTTTTTATTTTCTACAATAAATCGTAATTAAATCGTTAAATCGTTAAATTATATATCATTTTCGTGATACAAATATATTATTATTATTATTATTATTATTAGTTAGTTATCTAGGTAAATATTATGTATAACTCGGTAAAACGTATATATTAAACGTTACGTAACTTACCTGTAGCTAATGGTTCCATAATAAACTGAATTGAATACACAAACAATCGCTAAGTTACAGAAAAAAACTAAATTGTAAAATAATATTATTCTGTTGGATTTACACTGCAACACTGTGGACTTATATTACGACTGCTGTAACTAAATCAATTTAAGCCACAACACGTGCACTAAACCAGTAAACTATGCAGTATGAACTCCATTATTGATACATATAATAATTCGATAAGATAAGTAAAATTTGATAAATGCTATTTTTGCCAGCTTTCGATGTCAATTGCCCCACT